GATGTCTAATTTCTAAAAGGATAGAGAACTGGTGAATAAACAGTTCTCAAAGAAAGACTGAGATTTTATTCGATTATGTTTTCTGTTAAAAGAAACAATGGCCGGCTGTTACAAGATGGAGCGCTCCATGTGGTCGCCGTTAAGCTGGTGAAACCTGTCACCCCATTGGCCAAAGACTACTCAAATACAGAAATACTTGTAAAAGAAAAATGATTCAAAGGTCAAAGAAGTATAGACTGAATATGAGATAGGATTGTCTCAGACATATCGAGTTGCTGATTATGGTACGTATGATTTTAAATTCAATGTCACCCAAATTAGGATTTAGAGAATGCGTTTAATTTAGAGAATGGTGGTTGGAAGTTGAGTGAGAACTAATCATACTTGAATGATAGACTTTAGGAGAGATAAAGTATTAAACAAATTAAAATATGGACTTAAATGGTCAGCTTAGTGATGGCTCTAACCATATTTACGTTTGCTTAGAAGTTCTGCTAAACTCATAAACTTAACTAAAGTTAAGTTGGGGCCTACGCAATCCTAGTCATGAAACCCTAACAACCAAGGACTGACGTTAGGCTCAGAGTTTCGAACACTGAAGCAAATAGACGCGCGCATACATTCAAGTATGTAAGTACCAAGGAAACAAGACTTATTTTCGTTTTAAGTTGTGAGTACATAAAGTATGTAAGGTGGAACCAGTTAGCAATCTTGACTGCGTCAATCTGAAGGTTCTAGTAACAATGGTAATCAACCGCGGTCTGAGAATGCAGTCAAGTTGAGAGTATCTTCATCAGGAATTACCACATGAAATGAAAGTCACCACAAAGAGAAAGCAGATTCTCCTGCCATATCCGCCTCATCTTCAAACATTTACAAGGATGCAAAGGAAAGCAGAAAGTAACCGACCAAATAATAGAATGTCTTATTGAAAGAAGAAGTATGTACGATTGCGGCTGACCACTATTCTTGGTTTTGTCTGGTAAGTTTTCTTAAAGGGTCTACAGTCTGGACGATTTCAGTCACGGCGGGCCAGACGTGAGCTTCGCACGAAAAGGTGAACCGGGAACGTCTCCGTACGAAGTAACAGTCTTCCTTCGGTTTCCGGTGAGGTAAATTTACTTTCCAAACAGTTTCTTTGGAATGAGGAAGCCAGTGACAGGAAATTGAGATAAAAGTTGCTTATATTGCTCTGTTGGTTTTCCGTGACGAACTATGCCACAAAACATTCGAGCTACGGCCAGATATGACCGCATAAACTTCGGCTTCGCAACCATGTTATACAAAACTATATTAAGAAACCGAATAAGGCAATTTATAAAAAATATTCCGTTAGATTGGCTGACATACTTATATTTCCATCGAGTGGGCTTTCTCGATCCAATTGTAGGCCACAAGTAAACGCAGGTCGTTCGGACATTTTTAAATGATACCGAGTCGAGTCTACGAGTCCAGGAAGGCGTCCCAGCCCCAAGACGAGAGCAAAAAGCATCAAGCCGACGAGAAGTACAAGCAGTGCCAGAATAAGAAGGCCATAGAAAAGAAGAGGCCGACGAGGCCTGCTCGAGCCCGGATGGCTCGAATTAGAGCGCACCGAAACTCCAACAGGCAAAAGGTTGCGATGGGATCGCTTCAAAGGTGGAAAGCCGGAAAATGGAGGCAGAGTTGATGGTACTCCTGAGGGCTCTACGGGCGTGTAGGCCGGCGGGCCGGGAAAGAAGATCAGGGGATCGATCTTAAGTGAATGGAGTGATGAAGAAAGCAAACGAATACAAGGAAAACGATTGAACAAAAGGTTGGAGGAAGAAGGAATTAGGGAGTCTGAACAAAAAAAATCGAGTATAAATAATGTAAAATTTATCTAAAGATGAAATTATAGATCTCTGGTAAGTATATTGGTACGATGAATAATAACCTAGCGACCATTTTTTGGTACAAATATGAAATGCCACTAATTTTATACCAACTTTTCAAATACATGTATCCGACACTTAATTATCACCTATTGCCTACTAGTAATGGAGCTCATTGAACTGATGAATAATGAAAATCTGTGCTAAACTAAATTACAGTTTGATTCAACCAAGTGAATGTAATAACTATGATTTGTTGAT